TGACGCGTTTTCCCCGCGACCGCGTCTCTCCGCGAACGGTCGTAACACTAGTATTTACGAAATTTCCAAACCCAACTTTTTTGAAAACAAGTATCATATAAAAAAGTTTGATTTTATATTAAATTTATTTTTTCACGTGGAATCACATCCCTGCCGATTTCACTATCATTACTCTGACAGTTTGTTTAGTCTTTATCTTTTATTATACTTTTTTGGCAACTTCTGATTTCGAAAAATGTAAAATAGAGAAGTAATAGCTGTTAACTGTGCTTCAGGATTATGTGGAGTTTGATCATGCAGATTTCAATCATATCTGTTACTGTTTTTGTAGAGTAACGTCGCTCGTTCGAAACGAATATGTTGCAGGTGAATTAATTAAAGTGTACAGACTTATGCTAAGATATCTTGATTTATAAGTAACAATGGTTTCGACTATACATATATATTATTTCAATAGAATTTGAAAACTACTAGCGAACAGAAACTATTAACAAATTATCACCGCGATAATTTTTCACGGAAAATGTATATGTTTATATCTAAATAATTTGATATAAGCTGATATAAGTTGATATAACATTTCTTATCAAGATTGCGTGACGCAAACTCTTATTTGAGGATTATGGATCTACGTACCATCGCAAGAGGGAACGATGCTATCTGCAGCGAATGCGTGTTTCTTTTTTCAAATATGACAGTTTACAATTACAAACACGATAAGCAGGATTTATGTCTGTTTTGCATTTTTTGGTAGCAATTTGTTGTCTCTCACGTTGATTAAATAATGTGATGAAAGACGTTTAGTTCGTTTGACTCAGTTGTAGGTTAACATCCGTTCCGTAATTTATTCTCGAAGTGTATGAAATATAAATTGCAAAGATGAGTATTGATGCAGACGGAAGGAAATATACATCACCAGATGGCTCAAAAACTTGGGAATATTTGGCTATTTTGACATGTAATTATACAATTATTTTACTCTTCGATATTTTTTTAAATTCTAAAGAAAAATATCTACCAAAGACTTGAAATGAAAAATTACACATTCCACTGACAGTTATTCTTTATAGTGACAATTTTTTCTTAAATCTTAAGAAATCCGTTAGCGATAAAAAAATAACATTGGACAGAAAGTAGCTAAAAAAAACGCAGCAAGTTAAAGTTGTATTTTTGATTATATAATGTCTATAATAATGATCTATAATAATATTGCCGAATTATTTTTCCTTATTGATACATATACCATACATGTACATTACGTACATGAATCTGTCAGGTTCCATTATGAGTGGTTGCATTGGATTCGTCGTAGGATGGAATTCACCAAGTATTGTAATATTAATGTCTGAAGACTCGCCTATTCCAGTCACAGCATCATCTGTTTCTACATTGGTGGCAGTTGTGGCTGTTGGACATATGTTAGCGCCACCAATTAATATTTTTATCGTTGATAAGTTCGGCAGAAAAAATACTCTGTTGTTTAGTGCTTTACCGCTCTTAGTCAGTTGGAGTTTAATTACTATCGCAACGTCTATTTGGGTAAGTTGTATTAGAGGATGAGTCATGTCCATACAACAGTGGGTGAATTTGCATATTAAAATATGTAAAAGGCGTCATATGAATATACTCATACGTCCTACTTATTTGAGTTTTCGAGTTATAAATGATTACAAAAAATATTCGAAGTTTTCAACTCGTTTTCTTTTTAAAGCATTCTTTAATAGTATCTTCGCAAGCTGATAGATAGGGTAAGATGGACCCATTGCATGGCTACTGTGATATAGATCCATTAGGTTTTTGTTTTTGGAATCGTTTAAAATCTATTGTGTATGCAAACGAATAATGCACATGATCTGCGGAAACAGATACAAAATACAAATTTGGAACTATTCGAAGAATAGTATTTTCGAGCGAGTAGGGTGCTCAGTGTTACGGCGCGTAGTACTTAGATGATGTTGAGGCACAAAGCGGACATTTTGAACGTCTCTTCTAATCGTGCATAACTCGAAAATTAAGGTATGTAGGAACATATAAGATTTGTACTTATTTTATTTTTGTATAGATACGCCATCTGAAATATGACGTGTATTTATAATTCATCGTATGTATTGATCAAAAAATATTAATTCATTATATCAAATTCATTTCTTCTTTTTCAGTATTTAATACTATCCGTTTATACCACGCTAGAAACAGACACATTGATTACATTTCCTATCCCGAATGATACACAAACCAACTAGTAACATTTTGTTTGTCCATTTTGAAATAACAATCATATTCGTTAATTTGCAAAAGAAACAAAATTCTGATTTATTTCGAGTATAAGTTTGTAGTTCATATATACAAATGCTTGTGAAAATCGATAAATATTTAAAAGAGGAATTAATAAAAAGGTTATAATTTTTAAAATATTATCTAAAGAAATGAATTTTTTAAAAATTTGTTTACACACCTATGTTTTCCGTTCATAAACATAGAATTCTAACTGATACAATTACTCTATCTCTAGGAGTTCCAAGTTTTATTTTCACCAAAAATGTGATTGTTTTAACAAAAATACAATACGTGAAATTTTCATAGTTCCGCGCAATATTTTATGCAATATGTAATATTAGAGTGATAGAAAGGACAACTGAACAATTATAAGGTAAATATATGTCTTTATGTACACAATTCTTGAAAAATGTATGTATATTTACAGTAAGAGGATGGAGTAAAATATCTATAGTTCAACTTAATATAGTACCATATTTAACCTATAGAACAAAATGTTCTGTTTAAAAATTACATGTTAATAAACATGTATTTGCTCTGTGGATGACTTCTGTTCAAAACTTCTTTCTTTCATACTTTCGATTAAAATTTGTAGAGTCACGATTTCTATGGTAGCACACGCTTGTCTTATGCCACCCTTAAGATCTAGCATTTAGCATACTGCGTTATATTTGCGTATATTTTGGGAGCTAATATTCCCCGAAGGATTTCAGTTAGAAAATATTAGGGAATCAGGATGATGCATGGGCCACTGCTTATTTTTCGTTTGAAAATGTTCTTTATTCAATCTCCAATTATGAATGGTTACATTGTCTTGCTGGAACAGTTTTCATAATCTATGTTTTCAACAAATGGAATTAAAACGTGTTCTACAAGTTCTATGTCTCTTCGAATTCATTTTTGTTAATATCCAACGCATTAGAGTTTTTGCAGTGTAGATAAATGCAG